CTCCTGACGCGTCCCCGTCCCCTCCTTCCGAGTCTTCGTCCCCTCCGATCTCGTCCCCGACCTCTGCCTCTTCATCGTGCATGTCCGCGTTTTCGTCACCGTCCCCACTTTCTTCCCCATCCGCTTTGGTCCTCTTTCTTGTTACTGTATGCTCGCCCCTGTTGTTCTTCGGGACCTGAGCGGGTTTCCCCTTCACTTTTGGCCTCGGCGCCACCATGATGGTGCCTTTTTGGGCGGTGTTTTTGGACGCCTGCTTCTCCTTATATTTGCGCCACAAGGCATTAACCTAATGGCGGGGAATTAGGCAATGGTAAGAAAGGAAGAATACGACACACGGCGGCCATAGGCTCTTTGCCACTGCTTTCTGGGTGGTTTTTCTTCCATTTTGGCAGGGTCTCCGCCACGAAAATGTTGTAGGCGGACGGTGCACGGTTGCCACTGTCTGAAAAACAGGCAGAAAAAAGTTGTTAGGGTATTCAGCAATTCAAATGGCGATACATACTCTTGTTTCTCGGCTTCTTAGCCCCGGAAGAGACGTGAACCCGATTTTTTTCCAGCTTCAGAAGTCGTTGGTCGATTGACTTCACGTAGTGGAGAATATCCCGGAGCATTCGATCAACGTCCTCATCCTGTGTGCTGGACATATCTCTGCCTTTCGTTGTTCCTCGCACAGCGGGCATTTTCCTGACTTTCGTCTCGCGCAGCGAGCGAATATGTAACGGAGCAAAAGATTCTGTCGATGGTATTACATATACTTATACAAGATGCGGCCCCTAAGTTTCCGAGTCCTTGATTACTCCATAACTACTATGGCTTTTTGAAGAACTGTGTTCTCTTTTGGGGAAGCCACAAGTAATAAGTCATTGTTTAGCGACGAACCCTCTGTGTGGCCGTTGAAAATCACTCTTTACTATCTAGGTCAGGTTCCAAAGACCGAAGAACTCGTGAAACTCGCTCTCGGAGGCGACGGTATCAAGTGCAGGAGATTGTCGAGTCATCTTGCATCAGACTAGCATACAAGTTTGATTCGTCTGGCGGGAAGGATATTTGGCAGCGTCCAGCGGACCATGGCGGCTCGAGCAGCGGGAACCACTATTTGACGCGCCCTCACTTTTCCTATCATTGCTCTCTTTTTCCCACCGGGTTTTGAGGCACGGAGGTTTTCATGTGATCCAATTGCGTCGCGACACTCACGATACACGACACACGATATTTTTTTGCTATCCTCTCCTTTCTTTAGGTTCATCGAGGTACCTGTACCTTAGCATTTCATACGTAGATGAATAACACATTGTTAAACTGTTAAACTATTATGGTTTGAATTTCGTCAGCTTTTCTAGTCAGGCTATGGGCCTGGAAACCAGTCCACGAGTCGGCTATGAATTACTCCTGCCCCGAGGAGCGACTTAAGGTCGGCGACGAAGGGAAAGGGGTCTGTAGCTCTGGTCGGAGCTAGTTGATTATTCAGATACCGCGGTGTTAATCGTTAGGCCAGATTAAAAATAAAATAAGCTCACCTACGCTGGTCGGGCAGATGGAAGCCTGGTATCTCCACATGGTACACTGCAGCCTCTTCCAGTCCTTAATTTCAAGTATCTCTGAGACCTCCTAATGACCCAGTCACTTGTGCACGCTCAAAATATTTGTCCGGGTCCATGTTGCTTATGGGCCTCCAAAATTGAACATGGCAACAAAATCTTGCCTTCGTTGGTATGCTCCCGTGCCGAAAGTTGAGTAATGAGGATTCCCAATAAGGTATAGACGAATCTGATTTCACTTTCAGCCCAAGGATTCAATTTTGTAGTCCACCGAAAACATATTCCTCTCGCTCTTTGCTATGCGACGTCTTTCAATGGCTGTCAGGGTCTCACTTCCACCATCTCGCCACGTACCTCCCCTTGCGCTTTAGCAACTCACCTGCCCCATCGATTTTTACATCGTACACCCACATGCCATCGATGGCGCGTTCCCCCTGCGGTAAGTCGACAAGCTTCCATACTCCCCGCTTCTCCAGCTGATCCATCTCTGCTTTCATTGCAGGCAACCATTTCTCCGGCTCGCGCATCACCTCACGATAGGAACATGGTATCGCCTCCAATCTTCCGCCCTTGATTGCGCTGGCAAATGCCCAGGGAGAGAGCAAGAGCTGAGCGTCGAAACCATCCCAATCGACATCCACTGCATTTACCGTGGGGTGGTCATCATCCATTGCTCAGTCCTCACCAGCGAGACGTCCCTACTCCACTGCTCGCTCCGCGCCCTCAACATCGCCTCGGACGGCTTCGGAACGCGCGCGGAGCGGCGAGGAAGAGGTGGTGGAGCCTGAACGAGCTCTACGGGCGGAGCAGAAGCCACTGGAGCTTGAACAGCGGGTGGGGGCAGAGCTGGTGATGCTGTGCGCGGCGCTTCGTCGAAGGACGCGGGGTCAAGCGGCAGCACGTCGTTGTCGCGACGTCGATTCGTGTCTGGTGGGGCATGGTTTCCTCAAAGATGACATTGCGCAAGACTCGGACTCGGGCAGGGCCGAAGACGCGGTAACTCCGGCGGCCCATGTAGCCCACCATCTTCCCCTTCCAGCTCTGCTCCCCCAGCTTCCCTCCGTGTTGGAGTATTGGATGGCTGTGCGAGCATCGGAGCTCGGTCAACCATGGGAGTCGGGGTTAGTAATCACTCGGGATTGCTAATGCGCCGCCCGACGATGAATCAGCAGGCTGAAAAGGTATAAAAGCTGTAGTAGAATTGTACCTACCACATCCGTTTGTAACCAACCTCCCACCCTGGCTTCTGTGTCCTCAGGGAGCCACGTGGGAATGTACCCCTAATTTCTACACTTCGCGGTCATCCAAGTCTTTGACCCAGCAGGTACTCCGCCACACGCGCAGGTGCGATACATTTAGCTTGATCAGGTTCCCCTTCGCGTCTTTCTTACGAGACCATGCGACCCAGGGAATCATGTCGGGGTGTCGAGCGGACGGGATGAATCCGCACACATAACAGTGTGCCGTCGCGGACTCAGCCCAGAAGCGGTGGTCCAGGCCGCTGTCAATGAACTGAGTACGAGTCCCTTCGATCACGGTACGGTTTCCCCCTCAACGTGTCCGTTCGCTGACGAGGAGTCTTTAGGGATTTTCTCCACAGGAATCCCCCGTTTCGCGCAGTAACCCAAGAACAACTCGTTGTCGAACTCTTTCCCCAAATCGAATCGCACGCACAGCACCCGCCCCCCCGTCTGCAATTCCGCCTCTGTCACCCATGTCTCGAACGCAGCCAGAGTTGTCGCTGCTGTCTTGTTGTTGAGGAAGAGCGGGAATTCATCGATGTTCCACCATCCGATACCAGCATCATGTAAACGGCTCCCGACCAACTCGGCGTCCTGGCTTTCCCCCATAAATTAAGGTGTACTCGTTCGAGCGGCTTTGTCTCGTGCACAACCTCGTCATCGAACGGCGTCTTGTCGTGCATCCCGATAATGCAGTCTTCGCACATCCCCCTCAGCTTTCTATCGGCAATCTTCAGGCCGTCTACAAGCCCCTTGTCGGCCATGCGCTTTATGACGCGTACGTCTGCATGTCCCATCCGTGGATGCCATGTCTCCAGATCAGTGGGCTGGTTCCGATCGCGACCGGCCACGGCTGCGACAACACCTCTCCCACCGTCCTTTTCGTCGACCACATCCACCTGGTAAAGTCTTCTCCAGCCAATCTCCTTCACGAGCAAGCCGTCGACGATTTCTGTCCCATCCCGGTTCACAACTGTTAGCCGACCGCCCCCCCACGTCCCCCGGAAACCCCGTGTATCAAGTGTGGGGATGGAGATCAGATTCATCGCAAATCCCGGGGTATGCAGTGCTTCGACAAGGATCTTGCGAACTGATCCGTTTGCCAACTGAACATCAAACTCTGCAATACCCTTTCCCTCGACCGCGAACTTTCCTCCAGACTTCACTGCAGTCGAACCCTCAAGGAACATCTTCTTGTACGTTGTAAACCACGCGCGGTTAACCACGCAGTTCTCTGACGCACCACTATCCAGAAATGTCATTACACGCGCATGTTCGGGATTAACGTCGGCGGCATATATTGAGGGGGGATCTACTACATCGGCTACGGTACGAGTTTCATGTCCGGTTAGAACGGGAGGAGCTGATTCTCCACATCTGAACCTAGGGAACATGCTATCGTCCGTAACCGATGATAGGGCGCAGGGTGGTGCACCCTCGTCGGCATCGTCGTTGGAGATGAAGGTGCTGAGGGCGTAGACGGGCATGGGAGAGGTGAACGCAGCAGGCGGAGTAGCGGCCGGGAGAGCCGGCGCTTGGTCCTGGGTAACGGTCGCAGTTGCGGCCGTGACTTTGGCAACCTTTGCGGCCCTCGCAGCCTTGTCGGCGTCAATAAACGACTGACGTGGCTCTTTGCCCTTTGGCGCGCGCCACCATTTTGGAAGGAGGCCAAGGTACACGGAGATGCAAGCCAGGTAAAACCACCGTAGCACATGTGCGCTAATCGGCCACGTCCAATGCGGCTTTTCGAGACGACGAGATGATGGTTTCGAGAAAGAGGCATTGCACAGCCACGTCTCTTCCGCGCGCAGAAAAAACTCTTTCGCGCAGCAGAAATAATTTTTTGTACAAACGAACTCTCATATAACACCAGTGGAGCCAGAATAATAGCGAGCAAATTTTTTGGAGCAGCTGAGAGATCTGAGAACTCATTAGCCGATCCGCCGCTGGAAAAGATTGGCTCAAAAGTACTGTACTTTTCATTCAATTCGACACGACCGTGGCACATTTTTCTCCAAAAGAAATCCCAAAAATCGAGAAAAAATTGTTGGCGGGGTCGTAATTTCTCGGCGTGACGTGTGACTTTCGAATTGAATGAAAAAGTACAGTATGTTGCATGCGTGCTGTTGCCCCCAATCTAAAAAGTCGAAGGAATGACATTGCTATACCTGCGTAGTCTTCGTGCCCGGGTTTTTTAAAAAAACCCCGAAATGTCCTACAGTGGCCCGGACCTGGTTCGAACAGGCATCCCTCGCATAACTTGTACAAGATCTAGTCACTTGTGACGGGTGCATTACCACTATGCTACCGGGCCATGATGGATGGGCGGACGTGGGCATGGATATGTAGAGTTCTTCCGACCTCCGCGGATACTGAGGTCGGCGCTAGCTGACGCTATGAGAGCTTGCTCCGGCTAGCATAAGCGTAAGATAAGACAAGATGCTCCTTCGCTTCGCTCCGGCGGAGTTGGTGGGAATTTGGAGGCCGAAAGAGATAATTCTCGGATTGTAATATTGGGCACCGGATTGGGATGTGCTATCCTCACTGAACGTTAACGGAATTCTGATTAAAAAGGTCCGTGCGTTCAGAGCATGCATGATACGGCACACTGGGGGGAAATTGAGGGCCGCAGTGTTAGGGATGCGGGTAGCAAAATTGCTGTGAGAGACGCCTAAGCTCCGTCCGTGTGAGGGCTGCGATGCATGGATGAGATCCCTGCTGCGAGTACTGTGCACGACGGAAGACATTCTGCAAGGAGAAGAAAAGACACAGGCACACAGGTTTTCGAAGTCAGCTGCCACATTCCGGACACTGCGGTGGAGATAGCGACTGGAGGCTGTTGCCGACACCGCAATAGACAGGTTGCGCAACAGCCACTGGAGCCACCCAGTGGCTGTTTTGGTGTGCGCAAATCAGTGGCTGGTGGCTCGAATGGCCCAACACATGAACTCATATTTCGATGAATAAATGCATTTGCGACTATACTGACCATCTACAAGGCTCACAGTCTCATCCACACATGGGGCTGGCTGATTGGGGCCAAAAATATTGTTTCTTGGGGGAAAATTGGTGCTATGACAACGGTGGAGGTAGTTTCATGAGATACCCCTTTGCCAACCCTCATTCGAGCACTGAATACTACTTCGCCTTTGGTTCATCAGCCATCCGAGCCACCAGCCACTAATTTGCGCACACCAAATCAGCCACTGGGTGGCTCCGGTGGCTGTTGCGCAACCTGTCTAATATCTCCTTCATGGGTTTTAGATGTAGGAGTCAGAGGAAAAGCACTGTGGTTGTTACTCGCGATCCATTGCGAAAAAGTTGAAGGGGACTCAAGGAGACAGTAGTCACGAAGGAGTAGAAAGCAGAAGGAGTGGGGACAGTGGAGCATTGAATGGAAATCCACGTGCGTCATAATGGACGGTTGGGATGATTTTATTTCGGAAGGCATAATAGTTAGATACAGTTGACCTGAGTAAGGGTTGAAGCGTTGGCCGTTGGGAACGTGAAAAAGACGCCGACGAGGTTGGGTAGCCGCTTTTGCGTTGAATAGAGTGCACGAGAGCAGGGCTTGAGGTACACTGGGCAGATTTCATCGATAAAGGTAAGAAACAAAATAGAAAATGGGCTATGGCGGTATGAATCAGCACCAGAGGTCCTGGACGTCGAGTCTTGGAACAGGAACAGACTTCCGATTCAGAGGTGGGCGCGCAATGTTGGCTGCAGTGCGGAACGGGACGCCGCCTTATGAAAACCGAGGCTTCCAGGGCTTCTAGCACCCGCCGCTGGCTTGCCAAAGTGCGTCTCGAGCTGTCCATGGCAGAATCTTATTTGAGAGGTGCAGAAATGAGCACAAACGGCCGTGTGCAGAACTTTATAGCACCACTGTAAGAGTATTGATAAACTACAGACACAATGGGTTGAGTAGAATCACTGCCATGGATAACCACGCGAATCCAGCCGCTGCTACTTACCTACCGGCCGCAATATAATGGTGCCTTTTCCCTTGAAAGTTAGTTAATATTAATGCAAAGGGGGCTGAACAATCTGTCAGGAATTCGAGATTTGCGAATTGCGGGTGGATCTTTCCGTATTCGCGGGCGACGCAGGTAAGGTGGCAAATTAGTTGCTTGGAACGATGTACAGTGCCAGTCGGCACTTCCTGCCAAGCACGCTGTTATTGAACTAACTTCTTTTCCTTATGATGTATCTCACTTTACTGCCAGAGCGTAGTATCAGTTCCGCCATTTTTCGCATTACCCGCCCTACGAGTACATATACATATGTATTCCCTTCCCTGGGGCTTTGAAACTCTTCATTTTGCAGGGGGGCGGTGCTGGGAAGACCGTATTCCAGCCCGTCCGTCTGTCCAGCAGTCAATACGTGACATTTTATGGAGACCTATTTTCTTGAGTTTGAATCTGAGGTGATAGCCAGCACGATTCTGACCAAAACTATCTCTTCGGTTTTGTCCGTGCTGCCCTGGTCATTGAACCTGGAGCTTTGAAGCTCTTCATTCTGCAGGGAGATGGTGTTGTGAGGACCGTATTCTGGCCAGCCTGAATTAATAGCGACGGCAATTCCCGTTAAAGAACACTTCCAGCCAAAGGAAAATTCGCGGGACATTCGCTGGGCCACCTTTTGAGTCGCGCTACCCCCGGAATGGATAGCCCTGTTCAATACGAAACTTTCTGTGTCCTCCAAATTTTTGTAGCGTGCTCTGGGGATTGAATTAGGAGTGGATTGGGCACCCACCTTTGACACTGAGTGGGGCAGTGCATCTCCTTATACGTCTTTGCGCAGCTCCCGGTCCGCGACACGCTGAAGGAATTGCGGAGTCAAAGGATTTACAACGGCCAATTTACGTATGTTTATTTGTTTCATGTATTTCTCATGTCGCGCTTGCGGGCTCCGGGGTCGCAAGAGAACACGAGCAGCCGTCCCATCCTGTAATTTTCCCTCTTGCTTCCTACCATCACAATCCACCTACATTGAATCTGATTTTGCGCCCTGCTCCTGAGTTCTACGCCCCACATTGAGCTGAGTATTTGTTATTCCTCTTGTACTGACTGCATTATCTCTAGAGCTCTCATCTTGATCACACGGGGGATATTTCGGCTACACGACTCAGCGCCCTTTCCAGCACGACCTTGACACGACCTCAGTCCCCCCCAGGACAAATACTTTCTTCGAGAGTGGAGTCCACTGCGAGAGGTGTCGCTTCTCCGCTGCTGGTACCCAGCTGAGTCTTTGCTTCCCTTAATTCCCCGGCTTCGAGTCCACACTGCGCGATGACCACAGTCTTTTGATCATGTCGTCGACCTATCCTCCCACTCCCTGTCCTTCCCCAAATCCCTTCCTCTACTCCCTCCACAATGCGCCTCCTGATTCCCATGCCCATCCCGCGCACACCGAATGCTCCATATTTCGATCAAAGCGGAGTTCGAGATTTTCGTGCGCTCATTCCTCAGCATGGTTCAAACGCTGGCATTACTGATCCTGACGAGCTCGTTTCCTTCATAGTTCGATATTCCTCGGATCACGTGCACGAGGTCATCCAATACTGTACTATTAAATTCAATTCGTCAAGGGGTGTGACGCGTGACCCGAGATATCACTTCGTCAATTCGTCAAAGGGTCCCCAGCTGCGTGACAACCCCCAAAATTTCGTCAACCCCTGGAAATATTCCAGGGGTTGCAAGGCATGTAGAATAACCATTAGGATGACTTAGGAATCATCTGAGAAATTTATTTGAGCAAATCTGTTGTTGAAAAGAAAAAACCATTTTTCACCGTTGAACTTCGGTTGAATTTGGTCTGAAGCACGATGTTTGTGAGGTTTGAAACAAGAAACCTTGAGAATGGTGAGAAAATTGTAGGGAGAGTGTCCGCAGCTAAGGAAACTTGCTCAGAGCAGCCCTGAACCGAAATTTTGAACCGACCGTGACGAAAAGTATATTCGTCAAGAGCCTCCGTGACGCGTGACAAGGTTCCAAAATTCGTCACGTCAAGCACCCCCGTGACGCGTGACTGACGAATTGAATTTAATAGTACAGTACGTCCCCGAGATCGATGTTGACGAACCCAATCGGACCTGGAGCGCCGCGGAGCAGATGTTGCTCTTGTATGGATCTTTCGACGAGGAGCGCCAGGTTTCGGAGTGGGAGCTGATCGAGTTTTGTTGCGACCAATCTGCTAAGTCCCCTTATCGAAATAAACTCGAGGTTGAACAGTACTTACGGAGCTTTCAGTTGATCGCTGGACCGCTTGTCAAGCAACGCGACATCACCATTGCGAAGCGCGATTTTTATTTCGCTAGCGGCATCCCGAGCTCCATCAGGCAGTGGTTCATTTCTCGAGTTCCGGAGTCCCAGCCTACGCGATCTAAATCCCATTCCACTCACTAACTCTATAGATATTCTCTACGGCTATTTCGATCCCGATGCACTGTTCCCGACCTCTGGAGCGCCGTTGATGATTCCTTCACACCTCTTGCACCGAGTCCGGTGTACTCTGCGTACCCAGTTCAACACTCGAGTTCAATTTTGTTGCCCATTCCTGCTCCGATCAATCCCGCGATCCACGAGCCAGCGCCGCCAATTTTGAACACGCCTCCATCCGCAACTCCGATTTTCGCTGTCGATATACCATGCTTAACTCACTCAGATGACATGTGCGCTAACCTTGACACCATTGGCAACATACGTCAAAATTGAGCGACGGAACGAGGGAAGTCCTGTTTATTTCTGTGGCATTAATCGAACCACTGACTTTGATTCTGAGCCCATTAATGTTTGCGATTCGATTATCATTCCCAGAGCTTCAATTAGGGCTGCGCGCCGTGCCCGTAACGGGAACGGCCGTCGTTTCTACGGGTGTCGAACGGGCATATCGGTCCCGTCCCCGTGCTGTCATGAGGCCTCCAGAAATCTTCACGGAACGGGACGGGAGACGCGACGGCCGTCACGGTCGACCGGGAAGCAACGGCTCATTCACAGCTCTTTACTTCCAGCAGCGGTCCCAAAGAACATGTGTTCGTTCGTCTGAGTAGTTATCCTAGTTCATCATCTTCAGTCAGTTCAAATTTACAATTAACCCATACTAATTCCTATTGGTTGAGCCTTGTGGTGTGAGTCTGAGTCTTAAGTCTTGAGTTCTCGTCTATCGTCTCGTATTCACAACCGTCGTCGTCTCTGTTCCTATCGTATTCGCAGTCTTCATCAGGGAACCCCCCCCTAAATAATTTGAGGGGGGGGGATATATTATACTCGCGTGGTCCACAACATGAACGAGTTTACCGAAGACAAACATGTG